ATTGGGCTTTTATGACTTAAACTGGATCTTCCGCTCTATTATTTTATTTCTTTATATATATCATTTATTTTTTCTCCCCTCTGGCGTTTGTTTTTCTTCCTTCCCGCCACGCTGCGTTGTGACATTGAGCCTCTCCCTGTCGGGGTGCTCTCTTGTCTCACTCCACTGCACATTTTTTGCTTCCCCCCCACCCCCAGACATGGAGCTTTTGACTGAATACATTATCTGAGCTGTTGTTCTGTTTGTTGTTGTTTTAGTATCCCAGAAAAGAGATGAATTATTAATGACGACAGACAAAAAAAAATCAAGAAAAATCCTTTTTTATTATTTTTTTAAAGGCATGCAGCTGTGGATGGTTTTTATTAGGGAGTATTTTATGGTTTTACATTTTTATATTTGTGTCACTTATGCTGTTTATTTAAAGATAATAAGGGTTAAGGTATTACAAAAGTTAATTCAGTTGGGTGAACTGACTAAACCTTGACATTTATTTTAGTCACGGTCTCGGACTTGAAAATGAAGGTACACAAAATCCCCGATAACACCAAATGCATTAATCTACCCAGTTTGAGGTAAATCAGAAAACGTACCAGTTCAACTGATGCTGCTGTCATGACTGTCCCACAGCTGAAGCTCAACGCCATCCTAACGGTCAGTGGCGGTCTTGGACTCTTCCTGATGGTCCCAGTCTGAAGCAGGGATCAGTGTGCCCCCTTTTGGCTGCAAGTCAACACTACAACTGGTGTCTGTTCTACAGCTTCATCACAGGCTTCACAGGAAGTTCTAAGTGAGATTAATGATGGCGCGAGCTGGCCGCAGGATGATTAGAATCAAAGATCCACCACACTGGTGGCACATCGGATGGGAAGAAAAGGCATTGTTTTGCATTGGAGTGCTCGTTTGTTTCATCGTACAGAACGAGAGGGCAGGGGCTTCCGTTTTGATCAAAGGAACAGCCGCCGGAGACAAATTAACTGCCATGATTGTGTCAGTTTGTCACTGCATTGAATCGGAGACATGGGCCCATTCATCACAGAGGAACGCTTTATTCCCCCCATCTCTCTCAGGAGTCGTGATAGGGGATGTATGAAGAAAACTGACTGAGATAGGACTGGTCCACCTTTAAACAGAGCAAACGTGATGGCCATTGGATGTTCAACCATAAACCTTCTAGTTTGTCTGGTTCCTCTTGTTCGTCATTATTCATGTACAGCCTTGAATTAAAATTTCCCAGTTTTTTCTAAAATCTCTCCAGATTAAAGTGGATTATTATTGGATTAATTTATCACAAATTAGAAACAAGAACAGTGTTCTTCAGGACTGCCAAAATAAATAAAGTCAACAAAAAAAAAAAACATCTGAAATCACGTGGCAGTAACAAACTGCACAAGAGAGTTAAGGGTTGGAGAGCCTCACACCGTCCAGGAAGAAACTATTCCTCAGCCTTGTTGCCAGGCTTTAAGGCTGCTCGGTCTGCTGCCTGAAGGAAGGAGGGTGAGCAGTTCATGGGTTTGTTGGGCGTGTGTTGTCATTGTTTCTGTATCTGCTGAAGTAAATGTCTTCTGGAAAATGAATTCTGGGTTTGGGTCAGTTTTTCAGGAACGTCATCTTCAGAGTTTCAAAGTGAAACCACAAAAGGTGTGCTGATGGTCCAAAGTAGATCGTACCCATCTCAAAAATGCAGATTAATTCAATTCTATTTAAATGTGTTATTTGGCCTCAATGATACATGATTTTATTAATTTTTTAAAGTACAGTTTTCCAAGTTAAGTAAATTGCAAAACAGCTAAATGAAGGTATCACAAATTAGAAAAGGTATTTTTTTATTTTTTGTGTTTTTTTTTTTTGTTTTTGTTTTTTGCCGTATCGCCCACCCTTAAGAATTACATTTTGGTCCTCTACAGATAAACACTTCAGATATTAAATCAAATATAACATTTTAATCCCGTAGAACTTTTTCTTTCTCTACATTTTTACAGGCTTTGTATTTATAGTGCCTCCTTTAAGAGCTTCTCCCCTCAACTGGGGGGAAGAAGAAGAAAAAAAGCCTGCCTGTTTGGAGTCTACCGGATCAAAGAAGAGGTAAATATCATTTCCATAACATTTGAACCAGTTAACCACCAGCACAATACGGAGAAACACTACTGTAAGCGCCTGACAATGCCAATGAGGCTGGAAGTCTGTGATTTGCCGCTCCGCCAAAGAGGAGGGAAGCAAGCAAAAACATGGAGGGGGTTGAGAGGTCAACTGCGCTCTCCCTGCATCACTTTCCAAGCAGCCCCTCGAGCGCTGGTGATGTTTTAGGCAACCGTGCCTCAATTTGGGGGGAGGCCTGATGGATGGCGTTCCCAAGGTGAACGAAAAGAATAGCATTAAGCTGCAACCACACAGCCTGGGGAAGGCTCCACTGCTTTGGGTGATTCATCTATTGATTATTTCTACCCAAGCATCGAGGTGCCATGTAAACACACATATATTAGTAGTCTACAATGCACATGTGCGCCCTGACACACATCAGACACAGTGGATCCAGTGAAAGCACGCCTCGGGCCTAGTTACTGTTTTATAATCAGATTCAGACTTCTAACCAGCTCCCGGGCATTTTCAAACCACAACCAGATACATCAGACGGAGAACTAAGCAGAAATGAATGAAGGAATAAATAAATGCTAAATGTGCATTATTTCTATTTGTGTGGGCCAGCTATTACAGTATTGATTCAAAGTGGAGGTTTTGGAACGTACCCACAGAATGGTGAGTGAGCCAAGACAGGATTTTATGCTGAATTACACTAAAACAGTCTTGTCCGTTTCAGCTTGGGCAGAGTTTATGAAGTTCTCAACTTCTGACTCAACTTAGTCAAAGTCGTTCTTCCACCAACTAAAACAAGGACGTCCAGTCCAGTTGTCCTTTTTGACTTTTTACGATCAAAGTTAAACCACTTTTTATCCGATAATCCTCCGGCCGCGTTTTTGTGGAATTGGGTTGACGTAGCGGGACAATTGCAATAAAAACAACTAACGGTGGTCCTCTTAGAATTATTTTAGAAATGTTTCAGTGGAGAGTTAGAAAGAGAAGTGACGGTTCTGATGCCTGCTAGAAATAAAAGTGTGAGTTAGGCTCAGAAATTGGTTGGCTTCACTCACGGTTTGGTCTGCACCTTGACTTGGAGGGAGTTGGTGGTGAGCCATAGTCCAGTACACGCCCGTTTGAGGGAACACCAAATACTATACACACAGCTCACAGCATCATATGTATTTTAGCTCGCTTGGATTTTATCTGTATCTTTTCTGGTATCACTGTTTCAGTTGGCTGATTGAAAGTTTTTGTTTCATCTATTATGTCTTATTCTTCGTAATGATGGCTATAATTATAGTATCAACGGTGAGGCACTTTGGTCAGCTCACATGCTGTTTTTACATGTGCTTGATGTGGTGCATACACTTTTATTTTTTGGGGGGGGGGGGGGGTACCTTGGTTGTAGGACACACTTTGGTTCATATATTGGATTTGCGGAGTCAGTTGAATAATTTCCTCAGTTGGGGAGGTATGGTCTAACCACCCCACGTCCTTCACCTCTGACTTAGCCTCCGAAAACATTACCAACATTGGATGACGATGTAAATTTGCCTTGTTCATGCTAGCCCAGCTATCCATCCGACCTACTCAGGCTGCATCAAACCACGCCCAGGTAACCTGATACTAAAGGTACAAAACTGTACGTTCACTCTGATTGGCTGAAGCCTGTAGCGTTGGGATGACCCTGTTCGAAACAAAATTTGCCCCAATCAGCTGTTAATAAAGAGGGCGTGGTTAGACACTCGTCCCCTAGGACACTTTAAATGTAATCAGGTGGTCTGGGTTGTAGGTAAGTGATGCTTTGGGTAAGATTGTGGTTTTACTGACTGTTTTGCATCGGTTTTATTACGTTTATAAAATGTGACAATATGTTGCATTTGCATTTATTTAGTATCTTAACATTTTTATTGTAACACCAGGGAGGGCTTAGCCCTGCTAGCACACTTATACCAGCCGTCCCTGGGTATTAGCCTTTTATCCCTGATGATCGTCCTGCACGGTCAGCCATGAGGAATGCACGTTAAATTAAAAACAATGTTTGAGAAAAGACCACTTCAAATCATCGCAAAGCATGGCTGGCTGTAGATTATGTTAGAGATGTAAATATTCTCCACAGAGCGATACAGTTTAAGATGAAATGTTCATGTGGCTATTTCCCTTAGGGGTGGTAATGGCATTCTCCATGACAATGGCAGTGTGACACGACGATGCCCTTGAGGTCCAGGCGTCTCCTCTGGGGGGAGTGCTGTGGAAACACGACAGGGTCAACGGTCACCTCCCATCATCCACAAGCAACCCGTCCTCCTCTCCCTCTGTCTTCGGGTGAAGTGAGAATGGAGAGAGAGAGAGAGAGAAAGGAGGAGTCCTGAAGCAAGCCCACTCAGTCCAGCTGTGGCAAACTGGGAGCTTTAGCCACAGGCGGTTCTGGCTGGCGTCTCCACTTCGCATAGCTCCCTGCCGTTCCTCCAAGGCCAGGGCTGGATCAATACATATAGTGGTGTGGATTCTTTTGGCACCCAAGTATAGCTGTGCAGTATCGCCCCAAGGTACGGGTCCGTTAAACACACAACAGTGTGTGCATGTGAGCAAAGTGGACCAAGTTTACTCACAAGGGTGATGAAATGCTTGGCATAAAACCGATGTTTCCAACAAGCTTTTTTCTTACGATTTCTGTTGCTAGGAATAAGAAAATCTGTTAAATACTATATGCAGGGTTTTGTTTCTGGAGATGTCCCTGATAGAGAGGCCTTCGAGGCAACACGTATGGAACGTCCTCAAAACTGGATAAACGAGGTTTTTCTATTTTAAATCTAATGTTTGCTGAATGGGTAACGTGAGCTTTTTTTTCTCCTTCACTAAAATGTAGAAAATACATGCAGGGAAATGATTTTTATATAAAACATCTTGACAGATAAAAAAAAAGCTGTTGAGATGTTTATTGTAGAAGCAACACTCTACTGCCACCTGCTGGCTGGAAAACAAACATCATAAAACACCAAATGGCTGTCCGGCTGGCGCCTGAAGAATCACATTTACAGAAAACAGCCATTTCTCCGGCATAAATAATAAATAAAACTAACAGTTTGATGTTCTGTCATGGCACACAATGGTGGACAAGGTAAAAGACAGTTAATAGGTTTGGCAGTCTGGACCTGGAGTACTTCAATATGAATGTGTAAAATAAAACAAGACGACTTAGACAAAAGATATTTAAAAAAAAAGTCAGGTCTTTTTAAAAAGGGCATTGCAAAAATAAATTAGCTGAGGTTGGTACTGAATTCCCGTATTTAACATCTTTTTCTAGTAAATGAAATGTGTGGACGCAGGTCCGATACCTGAAGGAGAAAAAAACAGAATGTTTAAAATTTTAAATCACTTCCTGGTAAAGCCCAAAAGCCTCAGGTCACACACGAATTCTTATTTTCCAGCACAGTGGTCCCTTACATTTACAGCAGTAGTTTGATGGAGTTTCGTACCTTTGGTGCATCTACAGCTGAATGCTGTCGGACCAGTGAGCCATCGTCTGTTGGGGTCCTGACGAGGTTAAAACATGGAGGCAGATTAGTCACAATTCAGACTGACTTTTACCCGATTTAAAGTTTAGCATGAGGACAGTGAACCTTTACTTTAAACCCTACTTCCATTCATTGAGTGTGTAAATCTACAAACCTGCAAACTTGGAGGGTGTGAAAAAGGTGACAACCACAATCAAACCTCCCCGAACAAGGTTCCTGCATGCTGCAGATTTGCATCACTGGGGTTTGTAGCGGCCTGCTCTTATACAGGTCGTTCTAAAAGAAATTAGCATATTGTGATAAAGTTCATTATTGTCTGTAATGTACTGATAAACATTAGACTTTCATATATATCAGATTCATTACACACAGCTGAAGTAGTTCAAGCCTTTTATTGTTTCTAATATTGATGATTGTGGCATACAGCTCATGAAAACCCAAAATTCCTATCTCAAAAAATTTGCATATTTCATCCGATCAATAAAAGTGTTTTTAATACAAAAAAGTCAACCTTCAGATAATTATGTTCAGTTATGCACTCAATACTTGGTCGGGAATCCTTTTGCAGAAATGACTGCTTCAATGCGGCGTGGCATGGAGGCAATCAGCCTGTGGCACTGCTGAGGTGTTATGGAGGCCCAGGATGCTTCGATAGCGGCCTTAAGCTCATCCAGAGTGTTGGGTCTTGCGTCTCTCAACGTTCTCTTCACAATATCCCACAGGTTCTCTACGGGGTTCAGGTCAGGAGAGTTGGCAGGCCAATTGAGCACAGTAATACCATGGTCAGTAAACCATTTACCAGTGGTTTTGGCACTGTGAGCAGGTGCCAGGTCGTGCTGAAAAATGAAATCTTCATCTCTAAAGAGCTTTTCAGCAGATGGAAGCATGAAGTGCTCCAACATCTCCTGATAGTTAGCTGCACTGACCCTGCCCTTGATAAAACACAGTGGACCAACACCAGCAGCTGACATGGCACCCCAGACCATCACTGACTGTGGGTACTTGACACTGGACTTCAGGCATGTTGGCATTTCCCTCTGCCCAGTCTTCCTCCAGACTCTGGCACCTTGATTTCTGAATGACGTGCAACATTTGCTTTCACCCGAAAAAAGTACTTTGGACCACTGAGCAACAGTCCAGTGCTGCTTCTCTGTAGCCCAGGTCAGGCGCTTCTGCCGCTGTTTCTGGTTCAAAAGTGGCTTGACCTGGGGAATGCGGCACCTGTAGCCCATTTCCTGCACACGCCTGTACACGGTGGTTCTGGATGTTTCTACTCCAGACTCAGTCCACTGCGTCCGCAGCTCCCCCAAGGTCTGGAATCGGTCCTTCTCCACAATCTTCCTCAGGGTCCGGTTACCTCTTCTTGTTGTGCAGCGTTTTCTGCCACACTTGTTCCTTCCCACAGACTTCCCACTGAGGTGCCTTGATACAGCACTCTGGGAACAGCCTATTCGTTCAGAAATTTCTTTCTGTGTCTAACTCTCTTGCTTGAGGGTGTCAATGATGGCCTTCTGGACAGCAGTCAGGTTGGCAGTCTTACCCATGATTGCGGTTCTGAGTAATGAACCAGGCTGGGAGTTTATAAAGCCTCAGGAATCTTTTGCAGGTGTTTAGAGTTAATTAGTTGATTCAGATGATTAGGTTAATAGCTCGTTTAGAGAACCTTTTCATGATATGCTAATTTTTTTATATAGGAATTTTGGGTTTTCATGAGCTGTTTGCCAAAATCATCAATATTAGAAACAATAAAAGGCTTGAACTACTTCAGTTGTGTGTAATGAATCTAATATATATGAAAGTCTAATGTTTATCAGTACATTACAGAAAATAATGAACTTTATCACAATATGCTAATTTTTTGAGAAGGGCCTGTATTTATATATGAGGGATGGGCAATATATCGACATGAATATCGTATCGGCCGATGTTAGTCATTTAACACATCGGTATCGGTTTGATCAATAAAAACGAACCGATATAACAACCGATGTTTTTTCCATCTCGTCTCCATTTGTTTGCCTGTTTCAGAGGGTGTGTGAGTGTGTGTGTGTGTGTGTGTGGGGGGGTGTAATTGTTTGGTCATGTGACAGTGAAATAAATCATCTCAGAACCATAAATGTGTGTGGTGTGTACATAATAATGTACATTCAGATTTAATAATTGTCATTCTACACAAAATCTGCCGATTTTAAAAGCATTAATGTCAGTATATCAATATCGACAAATATCGTTTATTGGCCATAACATAATATTGTATCGGCCCAAAAATGTCATATCGGTGCATCACTATTATATACTTCTTGCTAAAAGAATCTGTTGGGATAATTTTAAAAAAATCAACATGATGTTTGCAAAATGAAAAGTATTTTCTACCACGAGTATTAGACAGTCTCTGCTCAGGAAAAAGAAAAAATATGCTTGACTGAAATGATCAAAAATCATCAGGGGTCACCGTATATTTATTAAGAATTAATGTGAGACTAGATTACACTAAGAACACCAAACATGAAAACATCTGAAAACGTTCCAGAGTCATCCTTACGCGGTTTTTGTAATGGGTCATGAGTGCTGCTGAGTTGGTAGTGATTTAGAAAGAGCTGCAGGCCAACGCGGCTTTGTCTCAGCTGTTTGATTGAATACTTTAATAAACCGTTAAGAGCAAACTGCTGTTTTGAGTATTTAATGCTGCAGAAATGTTACAGTATTATGAAATTATCTCATGTGTTTCTCCTCCAGCGTCCTTAAATCTTCCAGTGCCCAGATCAATAGACTGGGACCTATTTTTAACGAGTGAGCATACTGGTGGCCATTTCTTACCAGAAAATGTTTTTATGTTACCAACATTAGGTTTTAACGGGGTTAAATACCAGCGGTGTTTACTCCAAAGTCAACTTCCAAAAATATATATATAAAAAAGAATCTTTAAGGGAAAACCTGCTAAAGTCCTTGACAGAAAATGGTTATTTAGTGATGATTTTATTCGATTTGACGAACTTTAAGCTCAAAAACTGCTGCGAGAAGTTAAAGTGACAGCAGTCATTCTTACTGGGAGCGCCGCTCTGCCTCCTCGTCTGCAGCGTGCCGTCTCTTCAACTGTGACTGGTCAAATGACGACATGTGACTAACAAACTAGAACAAAGATCATTTGCGAACAAGACGAATCCCCCCTCCTTTATACGATTCTCACAAAGAGTGATTGTAACCCGACAGAAGACCCCCCCCCCCCCAAAAAAAAGCCTTTTCGGAACTACACCATTCAAAAAAACTCCACATATGGCTTCTAAAACGACGATTGACTACAAAAATCAAAAAGTTTGCAGATGTGTGTATAGATGTAAACCCTTGGTTGTGGTCCTCAAACTTGTGTTTCTGCCAGTAAACCAATATTTAGAAGCACTTCTATGTCAAAGTGACGATTAACTACTTTTGTAAAGTCTAACAACTGTTCACCTTTGGTTAACTTCTCAGCCCAGAACTTACCATGCTGGTAGGTGGACCTGGACGGTGATGGAAGCGCATCATGTGAATTGTTGGGGACCCGGGAGCCCATGTCTTCATTAAGGCTCTGCAGGCGAGATCTCTGGACGGCCATGGCTACTGCCTGTGCAAATCTGGATTGGCCCACCTTAGTTTTGTCCTGAGATGGTTCAGACACAGGCACGCTGTTCTCCTGAGCACTGGTGTGAACATTCATGGGAGAATCTGATTGTTGAGAGGAGCTTGTAGAAGCTCCATTTTCCATGTCTTCTTTGAAAAACACGGGTGGAGGCGGGGGAGGAAAGCTAGCTTCTTCCTCCTCATCTTGAACATCCTCCTCCTCAGCTTTCTTCTCATCAATGCAGGAACTCCATGGTTCCATGTCTGGGCTGGGACTCTGCTGATCCTCATTCCTGGTGTGATGATTGCTGTTAACTTCTTCATTACTACATTCTGAGCTTTCAGACTGGATTACTTCAGATGGAGCCTTTGCCTCCTCCTTCTGGCTCTCAGTGTTGACAGAGTTGAGCTGATCATGTAGAGAAGAAGCTGGACTGTTTTTCATTTGATTGTGATGAAAACCAAGACTTGGAGACATTCCATTTTCTGGTTTGCTAGAAGAACACAGAGCTCCCTCAATGGTTTCCTCATTCTTATTTTCAAGGGAAACTTCAGGCACAGGACCATCTTCTGCTGAAACTTGGCCCTGATTTGAGACAGCTGCAGTCTCCTCCGAATCACACAATGTTGGTTTTTTGGGGGGAACCACTTTAAATGTGGTAAATCTGCTCCTCTGTAATGGGTCGTCCCACTCATTCTCAGTTGGGAGGTCAGATCCAAGAACAGACTCGTGTTCTACGCAGAATCCTCCATCGTCTGGACGACCTGAGCCCATGGACACACAGGAAGAGACGTAAAAGTTTGCAGCAGAGTTCCTCAAACGTTTAACCAGCATTGCATTGGAAAGTGAAGATGTCAGGACTTTGGCGAGAGCGCAGCGGGCGTCGGATAAGTCTCGCCCTCGTAACGACGACAGAAAGGGATCAGTGGCTTCATGGAGACGAGTTCGGGGAGGCGGAGAAGACGATGGCTGAGAAGGATGAGGTGACTGATCAGTTTCTTGCAGTTCCTCCAGAGTGTTCAAACACTCGACTGTTGACAAAAAAACAAGAAAAACATGATGTTTCCATTCAGTTAGTTCAAAACAATTTTCAGACCACATACACCTGCCACATTTGGGACGGCGGCTGAGCAGGTGATTTCTGCCACATATTTCCACATTCATTCATGGAAGATGCATGTGGACAGCTCTGATCTTCATCTAACCAGTTCCTGGAGGCCGGCCGTTGACCGGAACATGGTCATGATAGGATCCCTTGGAGTGAGTGGAAAACTCAAATGTATGGAGAGCATACGGTTTTTGTTAAATCCTGCCTTTCCTCTCTGCTCCCTTTTATAACAGCCATTATTCATTCCTCACTATCCTCTGGTACGGTCCCCTCCCTATTCAAATTCGCTTCAGTCAGCCCTATTCTAAAAAAACCTGGTTCAGATCCCAATGATTTCAATAACCTCCGTCCCATTTCCCATCTTCCCTTCATTTCCAAAGTCCGAGAGAAAACTGTTGCATCTCAGCTCCATTCCCATCTCACCCGCAATAACCTTTATGAACAGTTTCAGTCACGCTTCCGTCCCCACCACAGCACAGAAACAGCTCTCATCAAGATCACTAACGACCTACTCATTGCTGCTGATTCTGGTTTAATCTCTATTCTCATTCTCCTCGATCTGAGTGCGGCCTTTGACACCATTTCTCATCCCATCCTCCTCAATAGACTCTCTTCCTTAGGCATCACTCACACCCCCCTCCGCTGGTTTCAATCTTTCCTTACTGGCTGCACTCAGTTCATCCAGTTAAAATCATTTTCCTCAAAACCCTCCCCAGTCAAGTCAGGTGTGCCCCAGGGCTCTGTCCTGGGGCCCCTCCTCTTCATAGTATATCTCCTCCCTATCGGCAAAATCTTCCGCAAATTCAACATCCAGTTTCACTGCTTTGCGGATGACACCCAGCTCTACATTTCCAGTAAGCCCAACTCAACTCTCCCACCATCCTCCCTTACACTCTGCCTCTCTGAAATCAAATCATGGTTCACCTCTAATTTCCTCAAACTCAATGGCAATAAAACTGAACTTCTTCTAGTTGGCACTAAATCCACCCTCTCAACATCTGACAGCTTTTCTTTAACTATTGACAGCGCCATAGTCTCCCCCTCCCCTCAGGTCAAGTCTGGGTGTCATCCTCGACAGCTCACTTTCTTATCAAGCTCACATTAATAACATAATTTGGTCAGCATACTTCCATCTTCGTTCCATAAACCGTCTTCGTCCCTCCCTTACCCCTCACACTGCCGACATTCTCGTCCACAGCCTCGTCACCTCCCGTCTCGACTATTGCAATTCACTTCTTTATGGTCTCCCCAACAAACTCCTTCATAAACTGCAACTGGTCCAGAATTCAGCAGCCCGTATTATCACCAGAACCCCTTCCTTTCACCACATCACCCCGGTTCTCCAGCAGCTTCTCTGGCTCCCAGTTAAATTCAGGTCCATCTTCAAAATTCTCCTCCATACCTTCAAAGCAATCCACAACCTCTCTCCTCCATACATCTCAGACCTTATAAGTTTTCACACCCCATCCCGTTCTCTCAGATCTTCTTCCTCCATCCATCTTGCGGTTCCTTCTGCCCGTCTCGCAACCATGGGGAGCAGAGCTTTCAGCCGCTCTGCTCCCCGTCTCTGGAACTCACTTCCCCCAGAAGTCGTCAGGAACGTCGACAGTTTTACCCTTTTCAAAACCAAACTCAAAACACACATGTTTAAATCTGCCTACAACCTCTGATTTTATTGAACTGTTTCTCTCTTTGTTTTTTTCTTGTTTGGGTTTTATTATTGTTTTATTGTATTTTATTAAGTGTTTTCTGTCAAGTGACCTTGGGTGTTCTGAAAGGCGCTTTTAAATAAAATGTATTATTATTATTATACCCAGGGCATCCCTTGAAATCTTTGTCAGATCAAAATGCTTTCTTACGAGATGCCATGAATTGCTCAAGGACCCCGTCTGGAAAGAAGTGGATCTTGGGTTTTTAAGCCTCACTTTAACTATGGTAAACCACAGTCAAGTCTCAACCCCAGGTGTTCAGTTAGCCTTGACATGGAGGTGGCATGAAGAGGAAGACTCAGGAATTTCTGATTTGTTCCAGATGCAACAAAAACCTCTGAAAGACCTTTCATGTTGGCTTTAGTGAGATCTTCCATTGTAGAACTTGCACACAAGAGAATGTTTCTGTGAAGTTGAGAAATCATAGAAAATCAGTTCTGCTGCTAGTGGTTCGATAAAGATAGCAAACAGTGAGGGGGAGAGTGGGCATCCCTGCCTGGTCCCCCTCTGAAGACAGAAGCTAGCTGATATTTGGTCGTTCGTCCTGACACGTGCAGTTGGTGAACTGTATAATGTTTGTAGCCAGTTTATGAAGAAGTTCCCAAAACCAAATTTATGTAAAGTTGCAAATAAAAACTTCCAGCTAACTCTATCAAAAGCCTTTTCTGCGTCTAGAGATAATATACTAGTTTCTATGTTTCTACTGTAAGAGAAATCTATCAAATTAAGTAATCTACGCGAGTTTGTGGATGACTGTCTACCCTTGATGAAACCAGTTTGGTCAGGGTGTATTATGAAGGGGGTTACCTTCTCTAATCTTTTTGCCAGGGCTTTACAAATTATTTTGAGATCAACATTAATAGGAGAAATTGGGCGATAGCTGGTAGGAAATGCAGGGTCTTTGCCTGGTTTTAACAAGACACGAATATCGGCTGAATTCATGTTTGGCTGTAATCTGCCGCTCTCTTCGATTTCCCTCACCATTCTGAAAAATGTTGGAGCCAGAATGATCCAGAATTCTTTGTAGAACTCTGCTGGAAACCCGTCTGGACCTGGAGCTTTCCTATTAGTCATGGATTTAAGGGCTTCTTGGAGCTCGGCTGATGTTAGTGGCGAGTCCAGGACTGTAACTTGGCTGTCTGATAATTTAGATTTATTATTTATTTATTTGATTTATCAAATTATCAGACTGATAGCAGTAATTCTGTGTTGTTACTTCTGCTGGACCTCACGGCAGCCTTTGACACGATAGATCATGAAGTGCTGCTTCACCGTCTACATCATTATGTCGGGATTTCAGGGTTAGCCCTGGAATGGTTTAGATCAGGGATTCCCTAAGTGTGGTGCACGCACCCCTGGGGGTGTGCGAGCTGCCGCTAGGGGGTGCGCGAGGTGAAAAGTGTAATGGCTGCGGAGCTCAGAGAAGTCTGTCATATGTCACTATTAGCGTAGAAAATCATTTGTGGGTGGGCCAAAGAAAAAGTAAGTGGGCCCAATAATTGTAATTGAAAACAAGTATACTTTTGCGCGCGCGTGTCCTCCGCATGTGCCCTAGCTTCATAATAACAAAGCGCCGAGCTTCAGCACTCTGGCCTGCGCACGCCGATATGTTCCGTATTTGATCATTTTTAACGGTGTTGGAGGAATCTGAAGGTGGAGAGTCATTCTGGCAGATTGTAATTAACACCTGTCTCATGCAGGTGTTCTGACGTTGTAAACCTCACACACAGAACATTGTGGATGTAACAAAATAACAAGAAATGATTCCCATTCAGGCTATTGACAGCACGCTGAAGATCTGAAGTTCAGAGTGCGTCTGTCAGAGGTCAGACGCGTTCCAGCGGAACCACGGCTCACGGGTGCACAAGTGAGCACATCTGGGCTGGGCAGAAGGAATTTTACAACATTGGTTTAAATAGCGCGAGACGCGGTGACTTGAGCGGCTGTGCCGTGCGTGCACACACACACACACACACAGATTCAATAAGCGCACACGCTGCTTTAACTCCGGCGCGCCGTCAGACTGAAGGCAGAAATGAACGCTGCCTCCACCGTGATAAAAACTTTTAAGAGGTTATTTTTCATTCAAGGTCAAATTAAGATATTAGCTTCTGGGATGAGTCGGGTCCGCTCCAGCCAGTGACTCCTCATGAACCTGACCACAACTCATGTTACTGCAGCATTTGTTATTCCAGTCCGCGTGGCAGCAGATCGCAGATTCAGCCACACCATAAAACAGCAATAAGTCGGTCTGAGGTAAAAGTGAACCTCATGGCTATATCTTGTCCCCTATAGACATTTGATTACCACAAGTAGGTGATCAGCTCAGGTTTACGCAGAGCAGAAGGAAGGAGAGCGCTCTGGCCGCACAGGTTAAACGTTCCTGCTTTAAGAAAACTGTTAAATTGCATTGTTTATGTGCTACCTGGGCTCTCTAAATATTTATTCAAAATGAAATCAAAGGAAATTGTAATGGTATCGAATGTTTGTCAATTACTATTTAAAAAATGAAAGTGATGGGGAATTTTTTTTAAGAGAGAGAGAGAGAGAGAGAGAGAGAGAGAGAGAGAGAGAGAGAGAGAGAGAGAGAGAGAGAGAGAGAGAGAGAGAGAGAGAGAGAGCGAGAGAGAGAGAGCGAGAGAGAGAGCGAGAGAGAGAGCGAGAGAGCGAGAGAGAGAGCGAGAGAGCGAGAGAGCGAGAGAGAGAGAGAGAGAGAGAGATGCCCCGATGTGGGGGCTGGGGGTGCGTCGACATGGTCGGGACATAGAAGGGGGTGCGCGGCTAAATAAGTTTGGGAACCACTGGTTTAGATCATACATGACAAATAGAAAAATGTGTGTAAGGATGGGAAGTTATTCCTCAGAGTACTCTGATCTACCATGGGGGTACCACAGGGCTCGATATTGGGACCTCTGTTTTCTGTTTACATTCTGCCCTTAGGTGACATCTGCCGTGAGCTTGGAGATCGATTCCACTCATATGCTGACGATTGTCAGCTGTAGCTGCCTCTGAACACGTCAAATGGTCTCTCCATTTCTATTCTTACTAACTGTTTGAGGGAGATCAAGACCTGGATGAGTGAAAATTTTCTGAGCCTAAACGATCACAAAACAGAGGCTATATTGTTTGCTCCACGCAGACATTGTGACTCTTCCCTAACTGACTGGGTCATTTAATGGCCAGCTGACTGCATCAGTGACTAATCTTGGTGTTAAACTGGATAGCACCCTTTGTTTTGATACCCACATCAATGGAGTGATCTCCTTTTTCCACCTTCGTCAGTTGGCAAAGATCAAACCATTTTTGTCACGTCATGATCTTGAGACTGTACTCCATGCTTTTATTACGGTGCGATTGGACTACTGCAACTTTTGTTTTACTCGGTGTGAGCAAGGGCTCAATAGTTAGATTGCAAATGGTGCAGAATGCTGCTGCCAGATTTTTAGAGAGCAGGCGCAAGTATGACCACATTACTCTTGTCCTGGCTGCGCTTCATCGGCTGCCCATTGATGTAAGGATAGGTTATAAAATACTCTTATTGAAAATGTTAAATGGTTTGGCCCCTCCTCCGTGTGTGAATCGTGACAGTTTTAATAGAAATAGCTTGTTTCAGTACTGGTAGGTTGATAAAACCGTCATAATTATAAATGTTTTTTAAAAAGGTCGAGTAGCTTGTTTTAAGCTTCGTGTGGGTTAGGCTACACAGGTTGGAAATTGATTATACAGTCAAACTCGTGAGTGAGCCACCGTAGCTGCAATACTTTCTCTGACCTGCGTGGCGCTAAAGAGTCACATTTTTTTCATCATGATTTCAGTGGATTTCACACACGTGGCCTTTGAACATAACAACTTCCACAGATTCCACTAAGATGGTAAGGAGGAAGCAGCAGACAGTGCAGGAGGGGGATGGAGAGAAGGATTAGGGACGATGGAAGGAGGAGAGAAAAGGAGACAGCAGCTCTCCATCAGCCCCTTCAGGTAAACGTCGAAGCAGGAAAGAGAAAAGGCCCGGCTTCAGTCTGAAGGTTTTTTAAGCTCATCGTCATGAAAACGAGGTCTGTTAGGCCACAAAGACCCAGAGGGGCCAACAGCTGGAACGCTGAACCTTCACCGACTGATTAGGTTGGAGAGAGGAGTGTGTTTACTGACAATCAAGTCTCTGCTGGGAGCTGTGTTTTCTCACACACACACACAGCAGATTTGCAGTGTCAGATCTTAAAAAGACAACTATGCTTCTTTAAGCCATTACATGTTGTCTACATTAATAATATGTGTTAAAAAAGTGGATAAAAAGCACACAGTGAAGCAGAAGGAAGGGTGAAAAGCACATCAGATGCACTAATGCAGGGGTGGAGGACGGATGGAGCTCGGACAATAAAGGGATTTATCCGAGAGCAGGCAGAAGCCATGAACAAGGAGGCTTTAATTACCCTGAACAGGGTTAAACTGTTCACACTGATAACAGCTACATTTTGCGATGGATTTAACTGCTAAATCTTCCATTTGATGCCATTGGCGGTGACATTTTAATCTCGATTCCAACATAAATCTCTGGTGACCTCGTGTGGCACCCACTGAAGCTGAAAGGATTTGGCAGACTTGATTTCGGGTTAAATACTGTAAGAAATAACGGAGAGTAAGCTTTCTGGGACTGTTAGAGCAGATCTTCTCTTCCTGACTGGGACCACTAGACGATAAAAATAGGAACCAAATGTTTATTCTTGATTCCCATTTTAGAAATGAATGAAGCTTGGATTTAAAGTTTCTTATTAGGAGATAAGTGACGGATCTCACCTTGTGTGGTGGCACAGGGAGGAGGTGGAGCCCTCCTTTTGGTGCTCCTTATGGTGGATTCTGCAGACCTCTACAGAGAGAAGACATCGTTAGGGGACTTCCTCTTTCTTCCATTATGTCAGCATGTCGGTTTTGTTGCTACACTGCCCATCGTACTGAATGGCAAAGTCATCAGGTATTAGAAGCATGGCAGGTTCAAGATGGAGAACGATGGGTTGGTGCATTGTTTTCACTACAAACAAAAGCTCTGCTGAAGGACAAAATTGAAGGACAGGACAGGAAGCGGCAAGTGAGGCTGGGGAAGAACATCTCAGACCTACAGACCATCAGCACCGGTTCCCCTCAGAGCTGTGTTCTCTACCCTCCGCTCTTCCTGTACACCATCCAGTATGGCGCGGTATGGGGGCCAAAATTAAGACTACTGCCCAGCAGCAGGAGGCTATATAAATTCTGAAGCAAACTACCGACCTGATTAATAATAAGCTGGCGCCGGTAACTGAGAGGCTGGCGCTGCTTACTGAGGAATAGCGCTTTTACCGGCGTTACTACTAGATACGCTAGGGACTAGCAGCCCTCAGCCTAGGCATGCTAATGGCTAGCCTCTCCAATGCTAACACCAGCCCGTCCAGGCTAACGCTAGCCTATCCATGCTAATAGACAGCAAAGGGAGTGTGTGAACCAGTCAATGACCAGCCGAGGGCTGCTAGTCCCTAGCGTATCTAGTAGTAACGCCGGTAAAGGTGCTATTCCTCAGTAAGCAGCGCCAGCCTCTCAGTTACCGGCGCCAGCTTATCATTGATCAGATCAGTAGTTTGCTTCGGAATTTTTATAGCCTCCTGGTGCTGGGCAGTAGTCTTAATTTTGGCCCCCATACCGCGCCACAATCCAGGGACCTCCAACCAAAAGTCTATCAAGCTAATCAAGTTTGTAGACACCACCGTCATTAGACTCATCTCTGACGGGGATGAGTTGGCCTACAAAATGGAGGTCGAATGGCTGGTGTCCTGGTGCAGCCACAACAACCTGGTGCTAAACACCCAGAAGACAGTGGAGGTTTTTGTGGACTTTACGAAGCAACCCTCCCCAAAACCATGTCTGACACTCCCATCTCAGTGATGGACTCATGTCGCACTGACGTTACCCAACCACATTCATTCTTTCCTTCAGTCGTCCTGGTCCCTTTGCAGAAAAACTACCCCAAAGCACGATGCTTCCACCCCCATGCTTCACAGTAAGTTTGATCTTCTTTAGATACAACTCAGCATTATGTCTCCTTCAAACATGGCAAGTAGTTTTAACAAAAACATTTGGTTTCAACTGGCCGTATGACATTATACCGAACCTCTTCTAGATCATCCAGATGCTCTCTAGAAAACTTCACATGCTGGCTTAAGCAGGCGGTCACATCTGGCACTGCAGGCTCCGAGACCCTGGTGGTGTAGTGTTACTGATGGTAGCCTTTGTAACGTTGGTCCCAGCTCTCGGCAGGTCATTCACTAGGTCCCCCCGTGTAGTTCCGTTTTTTTTTTCTCACCAGTCCAGTGACCCCACGGGGTGAGATCTTGCATGGAGCCCCTGATCGAGGGAGATCAGTGGTCTTGTATGTCTTCCACAGTTGATTTCTTGACACCAAGCTGCTTACCTATTGCAGATTCAGGCTTCCCAGCCTGGTGCAGGTGTACAGTTTTGTTTCTGGTGTCATTTGACAGCTCTTTGGTCTTGGCCACAGTGGAGTCTGGAGTGTGACTGTTTGAAGTTGTGGACAGGTGTCTTTTATACTGATAATGAGTTCCAACAGGTGCCTTTAATACAGGTAATGAGCGGAGGACAGAGGGCCCTCTTACAGAAGAAGTTACAGGTCTGAGAGACAGAGATATTGCTAGTTTGTAGGAGACCAAATACTTGTTTTTTCCACTATAATTTGCAAATAAATAATTTAAAAATCAGACAATGTGATTTTCTTTTTCTCATTTTGTCGCTCATACTTGTGGTCAACCTATGCTGAAAATTAAAGGCCTCTCTCGTCCTTTTTTAAAGGGACTTTATGGAGTTTTGAATTTTTATGCTCGCGATCGCCCCCTCAGGCCAAAGGCATAACTGCAGCTTCAATAGTAGGCTCGTGCACGAGGCACGCATGCTGTACGTGCACACTCCTTAACGAAAATAACAGCTGAGACAGTCCCGTGTGTGTGTGTGTGTGTGTGTGGCCCGGAGGACAGAGGACAGGAGAACGCGCAGCTAATTAATTAAATAATTTGGTTCTGTACCTTTCTCTTCAGCACAGCCGACAAAGGTTTAAGATGGGTCAGTCCTCCTGCATGCTCAGATCATTCCCTTCCCATTCAGCAAGTCTCAAATAAAAATTTGGGCATCTTACTGTAAAAAATATACCATTAATGTAAAAAAGAAACTCTAAATGAACTATGTTCACATCCAGAATCAAACCCAGGTCTTCTGCACGGGAGTCCAACATCTTACAAGGTGAGCTAAAGCGCCATTGACATCCTTTGTATCTGTAACATTTATATCCTTGATGACAGCTGAAACAACGTTCAAAGAACGGTTGGGAGCGAAAATGGCTATTTTGTTGCTAATTTGCAGGAAATATCTAGAAGAAAGTTCTACAGAAAGTAGCTAAGGGTCCTCAGAAATGTAGCTAGCTTTGTCACTAGGCGTTAGGAACAGCGACAAAGTGGCACTGCCTCTCTCTCTGCTGCTAAAGCTACGGATAGCAAATGCTACGGGCGATGTCTGAGCGTGAACGCGCATGAAGCAGCCTGCTCGACCTGAGCATCTCTCTTTTTCTGTGATTTTACAGAAAAACAGGCAATCACAGTAAAAATGCCAGGGCTCATTCTACAGGACCAGGGCATTGCAGGAGAATGTATGAAGAAGACATTTATTATTTCTATACACGTTTTGGCTGTCAAACTTCCATAATGTCCCTTTAAAGTCTCTTTCCGGAGCACTTTTCTTATCCGAAGGCACCATCTAGTGGCTGACAAGCATATCACACAAAAAGTCTGTCGCTCTGTTTTTTTAAGATGGCGACTTCACGTTTCTTGTTTATAAATGTGCTTCTGTAGCCGACAGAGCTAAAACACGCCATTTTACAAATACATTTTTCATGTCATGTTGCGTTTTCATACATTTATATTTTAAAGACTTACTTGTCTGTGAAAAGTTCATCAACTCTGCATCAGCTGTGGTACTTCCTTAAATTTGAAACATGTAAGCGGTAGTTTAACGCTATTGGTTAGTTCTGGTCGGTGCTCGGTTTCCTTTTGCAGAGCTCTCCGAGGCAGGGGGCATGGTTACACCCCCTCCCCCCCCCCCCCCCCCCCCCCCCCAAATAGATTTATTGCAATGCTTACATTATACTACAGTACATAAGATAATCACTTTTACGGATTTCTGAAAATCCATGCATAATTTCTGAAAGTAGAAAACTCCAGAAAGCTACTTTAAGTGGAAAAACTTGCTCTACTATAAAACTTTTGCCACACTGTAACCAACAAACCAACAAAACCAACCTTGTCATGTTGGAGAAAAATAAAATTAGAACACTCCTAACCTGAGCTCCTTTTGCATGGCAGGTGCTGAGGTTGTTGGGGACACTCTGTGAAGCCCCCACAGGTGGCTGAGGGGCCCGTCTTTTCTTGGGTAGATCTGCTGGCAGGGTGCTAGCAGACAAAACGTTATCTGGATTCACACGAACTCCCACTCGTTGACCAACACCAGGAGACACGGGGGCGCTCACAGAGCCCTGCTGACAACAGCGAAATGAACATGTGGATTCTTAACTTTGAACATTTGTATCAGGGAAGACTGATGAGGTACCGCTTCATGGTTCTTCTTCTTTCTTCTGAAAAAGCTGAAGAAACCTCGGTTCTTTGGTTTCTTCTCCTTTTTTGGCAAATCTGTAAAATGTTAACAACTATCATTAATAAAGTAATAACCAACACTTTACTGTGCATAAATATAATCTTTTACCTTGTATAAGAGGTAGAGAGATGACTTCTGCTGGTGACAGTACAGAAAGAATGAAATGATTTGGGGGCTAATGAAAGAAACTAATTTTCAAGTATTAGTTTTGATTGGAAGACCAAACTTTCCGGAAGGCATGTGTCCCATTCTGTATGGAGTATAACTAGGGATGGGTACCGAATTCGGTACTTTTTAAGGTATCGACCGAATTCCACAGTACCGACTGAGCACCGATTCACTTCATTTGAAACGGTGCCTCGTTTCGGTACCCGTCCTTAATAACGAGAACTTGCCTAGACAGCTGCGCATGTGCAAGAGCGTTGTGTCGTCGGTCGCTGCGAGCCAGTTGTAAACAGAGCAGCATGGTAGAAAGAACGCACGCTAAAGCTTGGGTCCACTTCACTAAATGTGATGGGTAACTGGGTGATGATGAAACCAGCGACAACGATCTAAGTGAGACATCCTCATCTTAATCTGCTCCGGTAGGTAAATAAAATGTTTAAGATAACGTTAGCTTGATATGTTAGCTTCCGTTCCGCTAATGGTGCGTTCGCTTTCTCCTCTGAACTCCGAATTTCCGACTAGTAGAACATGAACGCGCTCTAAAGTTTGGCTTCACTTCACTAAATGCGACGGGTGACTGGGTGAAGATGAAACCAGCGACAACGATCTAAGTGTGAGGCATCATCGTTTTAATCTGCTCCAGCAGCTAAATGAACTGTTTAAGATAACGTAGCTTGATATGTTAGCTTCCTATGCCACCATTGTTATCAGCTAATGGTGCGTTCGCTTTCTCCTCGGAAATTCTAACTTCCCAGTAGGAAAAGTCAATTGAAAAAGGACGGTAAAAGGAATGAAGATACACAGTAAATTTAGTTCACAGTAAAGATGTTTGCTTCAGTTTAATTATCAGCTTATAAAACTACAAGGACGATGTTAAAACACAAACAGTTGTATGTTATTTATCGTGATATTTATCAAATATGGTTATGAATTGAGAAAAATATATATCTAATTATAAAAGAGAATTAAAATAATAAACACTCAAAAGTATCGAAAATTGGTACCGTTAAGTACCGGTATCGATTCCTAGGTACCGGGAATTAGTACCGAATCGATTCAAATGTCAAAGGTACCCATCCCTAAGTATAACCAACTAAAACATAACAGTCCGACATGGTGGAGGTAGTGAGACAGTCTGGGGCTGCTCTGTTGCCTCGGGACCCAGACCAGGGTATCCAGCATGTTTTTGTTGTTTTCCCGCTTTATCACACCTGATTTCAGTCAGCTGGTGATTACCAGGCTTCTGCAGAGCCCGGTGAGCTGCTGAACAGGTGATTCCACCACTGAATGAAGTGTGTAAGAGCAGGGAAACAACAAAAACATGCTGGGCACTGGCCCTCCGGTACCCAGGACCCCTTTATGTAATTGATGGAATCATGAATTCTTCTTTCGAGCAGAACCTTTAAATCCTGCGGCAGGAACTGGGACAATGAACTGAACTTGACGCACTGATGAACAGGTTCAATGTTTACTTTGTGAATTCCCACGAGATGACTCTTGTTGTGATTTGGAGCTACTGTACGGAAACAACTGAATTGAATTATAAGCAGACTAATGGACTGATGCCCACTTAAATTAAGACAAAACTTAGAGCAAGGTGACCATTTTTCCTACACTATGTTGATATAATTGCTTCATATCAAGGGTTTGAGCCGTTTACCCACATCCCAGAAGGGTCTTTACCAGGACTTTATTGTGGATGTAGTCTTGACTACTGTCCACACTAAAGTCAGAAGAAACACAATGAAACAGCCATTAGATAGAGGTAAGCTGTGAACTTGGGCCCTTATTGATTAACAAGTCTAAAGTGGTTCAAGCCAACATTCCCCAGACTGACAACAAGCAAACCGGCTCCAGAGACTCATGCTATTGAAGACATACATCATGAGTGTTCTCCTGAGGGCTGTCTCTGGTTTTCATGTCCATGTCCTTTAACGTACCTGTTTCAGCCGCCCTGATTTGGTAGTCCATATGGTGCTTGGCTGATGTGTCCTTAGCAAACACTTCCCTCAGGCCATAGTCATTCAGAGTCCTTGTCAAGTCCAGGAGCTCTGTGGACTGAGCCTCTCTCAAGAGGACAGTTGTCCCTACGTCAAACTCACACTTGTCACAAATCACTGGTAACAACATCTCAAGAGGCACTCTGGGACTAACTCGCACCACCGTCTTGTGGGACCTGTTGTAGCTCACCAAAAGACGAACTGTCGCCTGGAAAGACAATTACATTCACGTCTCGCTCCCTCTTCGTAAATTATGACCCGTTTCCCTAACTTACCTCTGGCATGTACGGCCTTTTCATCTTCTCCTCAGTCCCTTTGGGCTTCAACACCATCTTCTCCGCTTCCAGCGAGCCGATGGGAGAGTTTGGCTTAAAGCTGACGCTGTTCTTGTCGGGCGACAGAAACTCCACGGTGTAGTCAGAGGGATTCAGGTGATGGCTTGCACACAGTGTCACCAGAAAATCCATCACCGGTTTACTAAAAGGGTTGAACATTTAGTCAAATAACTCGAATGTTGTCCTGTGAGGCTTACAGCCTTCTCTGAGGTTTAGAAGATTTAAAAATTACCTCCCGTGCACCACGACGTTCTTCTTCAGTCCCTCTGGGAGAACCACACACAGGGAGTGATCTCTCTCCAGCGGGTTCACTTGCTCATCCATCTCATCCACACACTTAGGCCAGTCTCCTGAGAAACACCACATATTTGCAACATTTGTGTAGAATATAGTGATGTGTCGGTCGCGAACGAACCGGCTCTAAGAGCCGGCTCTTTGAAGTGAACGACGGGAGCCGGCTCGTCATTGGGAGCCGTCCCCTTCCCTCCCCCCTCCCCCCCTTGCCTTGGTGAAAGCTACAGGCGATTGGTCAACATGTGTAACTGCGTGACCAGACTGTCCACACACAGAGCAGTAGGGGCGGGGAAGAGGGAGGATCAGACTCAGACACACAGCAGAGCACATGCGGGTGGAGGGAGACGAGAGGAAATGAGGAGGAGGAAAAAGGCGAGCGAGAGAGGAGAGTACGACGAAGACGGTGAGAAAATGAGCGCCAGCAGTCGGGAAGTGGAGATTTCTTAAAGTGTTCAGTTATTAAATCCATAGAAACAATAAATATTTGATATATTGCATTTTTTACATTAGTAAATTATTTTACATATAGTTTAGCATTATTTTGGTTATAAATGCACTCTAAGCAACAGAAAATCTGAGGAGCCACTTGGGAGCAGAAAGAGCCGGTGTCGGTACAGTATCTGCTCGGGTGCAAGATCGGCTCGGGGTCCTTCGACTGCCGATGACGTCAAAGTACGGCAAACCCACTCGGACAAAATACACTACACATCTATACTGTTGGAAAGAATTTAGCAGTTTCGTTATTAAAATAATGTTTCTTAAGACGTAAGTTTGTGTTTATAATAGTATTTGTAAAATAAAACACTATATTTGATTCATGTTGAACTCCTCTTTGAGCACATCCCTTGAAGGATCATAGGTACTAGCAACACCTGTGAAATTGTATTTGCAGGAAAGAAGTGTGTCCCGTTTATTGAAGTATTTGTGTTGAGTTTTTGACGTCTTGTCCATGCGTAGTTCAGTTACGCTCATAGCTGCTAGCCAAAACTCTGGAGTTAAAAGTTTTCTGGCTTTACTAAAATACCTGTCTGTACTTATTTGATTGATGGTAGTTTTACTTTCTATTAGACTCCAAATGTAATCATTTGCCACGTTTCTAATTCATAATTTGTAATAATGTAATCGGCGATATTAGCATTAGCATTCCTATGGGTTTTTCCACGTATATTAGCATTGCGCTAACCACTCGCTGCCAAATTGCAGCCTTTGCCATTAGAAAATCTCCTTTTGTCACATCACAATTTAATTGCACATGCAGTTAATCGTTCAGCCCTAATATACTTGCAGCTCTATGCTAAAAGTGTATTTTCAAAGAGGTAATGATGGATTTCTTTGTAAAAGTTGTCCATCTTTCCAATAGAAAAAATTTGCCTGGACCAACGTCACGTGATAACAACGTTACGTGATTACGTAATTCCGTAAGGTTCATGTTCAGCCAATCAACTACTTAGACGTCATCGGCAGTCGACGGACCCGAGCCGATCTTGCACCCGAGCAGATACTGTACCGACACCGGCTCTCTAAAAAGAGCCGGAATTCCCATCACTAGTAGAATAAATGAATCATGTGCAAAAATAGTTTTAAAAAACTTGCAAAAACAAGCAAGCCAATAGTTTAAAATTCCATTTAGTTGAGCTCTTATTTTGAAATGCATTTGTTTGGTTTCTAAAGTGAAGTTTTATTACCGGTATGTTATTGGAGTTTAGAAATCACCAGCCACTCTGGTTTTCTCCAGTTGCTTGTTACCCTAAAAAACAAACAAGCCAATCAGGAATTAATCAAGTATTTATCAACTCATTAACAACAAATTTATTTTTGAAACTTAAAAGCTTACTTTTACTGAGTCAAGCAGAACGGAACTATACAACCACGTGCGCAAAATTAGAAGTTTTTCCTAGAGTTACAGGGAAACTCACCGACGTTTACTCGACTAACTTAGACACCATTCCTCCTGGAGAAACGAACACCCCTCCGCCCTCCTGAATGGACCCTGGAGAGCTTCCTGAACCGGTTCAGAAGAAGCCCCGGTCGGTTCTGCTCGAGCTCTTCGCGTCAAAGTATTTTAAAATAGGAGTTCGGCAGCGCGTGCCATCAAAACAGCTGGTTGCTATGAGTCGCGCGCACCTGTTGTGCTAAAATGTGCTACCCCGTGGAGGTGCGCCCCTCCCCTTCTAAAATGTGCGAATTTATTAAGTAGAGTTTTAAAAAAATGAAATTTGCTTGTGATGCAATAACGGAATTACATTGTTCTGTTAGCAAGCGGGTTCACATGGGAGGGAACTTAATGGAGGAACACAACACGGCGCAGCGCGCGCTCGGTGTACTGTTTACATGGGAAAGTAGGGGCTTTATTACTAACTTAAATCATCCCCGTAAAGCCAACATACATTACTGTTATTTATTAAAAATTCCGAATATACAGAATCTATAAATACGAACGAAACATTTTAAGTTGACTGAATTTAGTCAATTAATTAAGTAAATATGAAAATAATACATATTTATGGGATTTTAGCTATGAATATAACATAAATTAACTAGTTTAACATCAAAGCAGCAGCTTAATAATCTGACTGCCTTCAACCGTGTTGTTCAAAGCTTCAAATAGGCTTTTAGCCAACTGTGAGGCTAAGCTTGCAGTTTTTTCAGCAAAGGGGATTAGAGCTTTACAAAGCTGTCTCCCCATGTCCTTGCGTTTAGAAACTCTTATATTAAATGTATCATTCAAACTCACCTGAATCCATAGACAGTCCTCATTTCAGCTTCCTCCTCTGTGTTCTGAAGCGTTGGCAGGAGAGTGGTACCAGGAGAAGACAGGAATTCTGTTCCCATGTAATCCCTGTTTAGCAGACATCAGCCACACCTATAAGCTCTGCCCATGTCACATGATAGCACTGTGTGTGTGTGTGTGTGTGTGGGGGGGGGGGGGGGGTCATCTACATGTGTTGGTCATAACATTAGAACATCATGATAAAGTTGATTTATTTAAGTAATTCCAGTTAAAAAGAGAAACTTGTATATTAGAGTAATTCAGTGCACAGACACTGATATATTTCAAATGTTTATTTCTTGATTATTTTATCTGATCTGACAACCAATGAAAATCCCAAATTGAGTATCTAACAATATTAGAACATAAATTAAGACCAATACCAATAAAAGAGATTTTAGAAAGGTTGGCCAACTAAAAGTGTGAACGTGAAAGGTATGAGCATGTACATCACTCAGTAGTTGGGGCTCCTGTGGCCTGAATTACAGCAGCAATGCGGCTTGGCATGTCTAGCAGCCCATCAGTCTGTGGCACTGTTCAGGTGTTATGAGAGCCCACGATGCTCCGAAAGTGGCCTTCAGCTCTTCTGAACTGTTGGGTCTGGCCAGTTGCTTCTTCCTCTTCACAATACTTCATAGATTTTCTGTGGGGTTACGGTCAGGGCAGTTTGCTGGCAATCAGGAACAGGGATACCACGGCCCTTAAACCTTTGACACTGTGCAGGTGCCAAGTCCTGCTGAAAAATGAAATCTGCATCTCCATAGAGTTGGTCAGCAGCAGGAAGCACGAACTAATCTAAAACCTCAAGCAACATCAATTCTGTGCCTCTTCTATTTTCCTCCAGACTCTGGGACCGTGGTTTCCAGAGGAAATGCGAAATTTACTTTCATCAGAGAACAAAACTTTGCACCCCACAGCAGTGCTTTTTGTCTTTAGCCCAGGTGAGATGCTTCTGATGTTGTTTCTTGTTCAGGAGCAGCTTGAAACAAGAAGCCCAACAGCTGAAACCATACATCTGTGTGTGGTGGTTCTTGAAGCACTGACTCTAGCTGCAGTCCACTCTTTGTGAATCTCCCCCACATTTATGAATGGGTTATGTTTCACAGTCCTCTCCAGGGTGTGGTTATCCCCATTGTTCTACACTTTTTTCTACCACATCCTGTCTCCCTTCACCTCTCTATTAATGTACTTGGACGCAGAGCTCTGTGAACAGCCAGCCTCTTTAGCAATGACCTTTCTGTCTTGCCCTCCTTGTGCAAAGTGTCACTGGTCGTCTCTTGGACAATTGTCAAGTCAGCAGTCATAATTGTGTAGCCTACAAAACTAGACTGAGAAACCATTCAAAGGCTTTCGCTGGTGTTCGGAGTTAATTAGCTGATTAGAGTGTGGCACCAGGGGTCTTCAGTATTGAACCTTTTCACTACTTTCTAATTTTATGAGATGCAGAATTTGGAGTTTTTATTAGTTGTCAGTAATAATCACCAACATTAAAAGAGATTAACATTTGAAATATTTCAGCCTGTGTGTAAAGAATGAATCTAATATACAAGTTTCACTTTTTGAATGGAATTACTGAAATAAATCAACTTTGTCCCAATCTTCAAATGTTATGACCAGTAGACATGGGTGTAGGCTGTGGAGGTTGAAAGGAATCTCCTTTAACTGGGCTCATCTCTCCCCAGATGCGTCACACTTGCTCACAGAAATGCATTATACGCGTTAATATCAATTTAAGTGAAGCAGTAGGAGTGACAGATTACACAAAGAAAGATGTATTTAAATTTTCAACAAGCTAAACGCACCTCGGGAAAAGCCTTTATATTTATAGAGACCTAAGGTGTAATGATTCAGAGAAAATTAGAGCTAAGACTCATCAAAAAACATTTAAAAAATCATCAAAGACCTAGTATTCCATTAAGGAACACACACGGAAAACTGCCTCTCAGGAATTAATCTTAAACTACGATAATTTCTGTTGGAAATGGATGAAGTTGTACCTGTCAAATCTTCAATCTGTTACCACTCAAGGTATGTTTTTAGAGTGAATCTGAAAAACTAACATGTTAAATTTTAGCTAATTGTTCTCCTACATTGACTGAATTACGGCCATATTTGCTTGCTAGCTTTAGCTGTAGCGGCCATGTTGGATTGGCCCCACTCCAAAAGTTAATCTTTCTGAGAATTTCATTAAAATTGTCTATAAAATATTTTAGACACACATACAGTCTCTGGCAAAACTATCTCCTGTCAATCAGAGATAAATATTTTAACACCAACTATATCCTGGTTGATGGGCCAATTAAAGGTGTATTATGTAGACACGAAGAAAAAATGACACCCTGTGGTAAAATGCGGTTACTGCAACCACTTTAAACAACTGGAGCTTTTTGCCGGCCTTCGTCAAATTACAGATGTCGGCGCTGCAGCGTTAGCTCGCAGGAGACACGGCAACCCCACACTCACTGATGGTAAACAGTTACGTCCCTCCTTCCTTTGTTTTGAAAGGAGAAAAGCTGACAATCCTCACAGCCAGCTGGATATAATATAAGTTTCAATATAACCTTCCTTCCAAAATGACTGAAACATTAGACTCTTTTGGGATTTTCTCACTGTAAAGCCCTTTTCAGATAGACATTCTGGAACATTTGTGGACAATTCAATCCGGTTTTTAACTGGAACTGTGTTTTCAGACACACCACTTTTGTACCGGAACTTGTCCTTTCGGCTGCGTTCACACAGCAGGGAAAAGTTCCAGATGTCTGACGGCGGCGGGGGGTGGGGTGGGGTGGGGGAATCGGACTTATGTTAAGAAGAAGAACAAGAAGAACAAGAAGAAGAAAATATCATTTCTATAGCGCCTCTCAAGATAAAAATCACGAGGCGCTTAAGCATAATTCTGCGCACACGAAGACGCATAAGAGACCTGGATGATGAAGCTCAATGGTTAAAGGAATCACTGAAGCGGTGTGAAGCGCTCCGTCGCGCGTCTAGGCGGTACCGTAGGAGACGAGCTGCCGTGGTTCGCCGCATGCTACAGCAGCGAGCTATATAAGTGCGCACAGCGTCCCACGGTCCCCTCCTCCTTCCCCTCCCTCTTGTCCGGAACTTTACCTCACCAGTCTGAAGCAGCCACCCTGTCCGTAACAAGTCCGGACCTGTTACTAGGGGCTTCGTCCGGATAAATTCCGGAACACGTTATCCGGATGTTTGTATTCAGACAGAAAGGTCTTACGGACAGATTCCGGAACATTTCCGTTTTTCATGGCCTGTCTGAAGGGGGCTTTAAATTCCTGGTGCTCACTCCTCACCCCTGCCACGTGGACTTCAAGGGATAAACCATCAACCCTGCTCAATGGTCAACTTTCCGGGCGGGGTCACCCATGAAGACAGTGGGAGGGTTGAGAGGTTTAACTTCCTTCCACCAGAGGGAGAAAATGACATTTCTATGCTGCTGCGGCTGTAGGCGAGCTGCTAAGTGGGAGTTATAATCAAATCCAGCATGGAGAACACGTGTCCACACCTCCTCTGATCTTCTAATTTCATTGCGAAGTCTCTCATTGAAAACCCACTGCCTGCAGAAAACAGATCAGTATGTGACTTTCAGGTCTATTATCTTTTATTTTTATGACTAAGACGTTAACAAAGCACATTTTCAGCTATGCTAGCCAGCGTGTTGCTGTAAAAACATATAGCACAGGACAACACAACGACATTTTAAAAAGACATGAAGAGTACAGGTGAATCTCGGAAAATTAGAAAATAGTGTAAAAGTTCATTTATGTCAGTAACTCATCTTAAACATGCAAATGCAGATACTTTAAGCCTTTCTCCGTTATACGTGTGATGATTATGGCTTACAGCTTATGAAAGCCCACATTCAAAATCTCAGACAATGAGAATTTTGTGAAAAGGTTCAGTATGCTAGACTCAAAGTGTCACGCTCTAGTCAGCTAATGAGTCCAGAACACCTGCAAACGGTTCCTGAGCCTTTAGATGGTCTCTCAGTCTAAGATGGATTACTCCAATATGAGGACTGATGCACCGTTTTCTGATTTTTCACGTTTCACCTGTACGTGAAATTATCGTTTTGTTTTAAAATGCTGCTGCTAGCTTAGCCTTGGCTAATGTTCACTCTACTGTTGAATAGATTTGAGTAAACTCAGAAAAATAAAATTAAAATTGTAAACTAAAAAAACAATCATGTGGGCAAAGTTTATTTGTTTGTTTTTTTCCGGACCGACTAGAACACAGACGGGCTGAGATGCTAATTTAGAGCTTGACTCAAAGTCATGAAGTGAAATGGAATGCTCTCCTTGGTTCATAATTCCAAACGAGGCTGTAAAATTCATCACCCTGCATCTAATGAAACGGTCTACAAGCTAACAGAAAGGTGCCAAGGGGGCTAAACACGAACTCTGCTCTTGAGAGGAACAATCTGGATGATCCAGATGTTTACGGAGTCGATCATTAGGCTGCAAACATACAAACAATAAACAACATCCATCTGATTCTAGTGTCTGGTTTATGCTAATGCTGTTATGTGCATCTACTCCATCTTGATTTAGTGTTTAAAGCTTACAACATTTTAACTAATGACTTAAAACAATCACAGCAACACAATGTACCCTCCTTTAGATTCCCTTTTATCCGGTTACACCAGTGAAAGCAGCCAATACCATCACACTGCCACCACCATGTTTGACTGTTGCTATGATGTTTTAATGTCAGGCTTACTCCAGCTTCAACACACGTTTTAGAAAGTTCTCACCAGACTAGAGGATTTTTACCCAGAAGTCTCAAGAATTGTTCAAATTTGTTTTGGAAATGTGAGACTGGACTGACCTCTGACCTTATTCTGACCTAAGTGACCTTTAGATGTAGCTCCGGATACTTTTGTTGTTGGATTTCTTCACAAGAGGGATTGTCTGAGATTTTTTTAGCCTACATTTGTCAGATGAGATCTATCAACGGGATTTCTTAATTCCAAAGATTTGGCAGTAGTCAGAACTGGGTGTGGCTGGAAGAACTGAGCCCAGCTCTTCAATAATGGAGTTAACAACAGGTATCTT